GGCCCAGACCTGCAGGGCCCACGCCTCGGCAAGACGGGGGCGGCAGGATCCACCCCGGCAGCCCCCACCATGCCACCACCCCCAGTTGGGGAGGGGGTCCTCGCGGCCCGAAGGGAGCAGCAGGTGGGGGAGGGGGCCCCCCTGGCCCGAAGTGAGCAGCCGAGGTCCCCGTCCGGGGGGGCGGGGCGGGGCCCGGGCCGCGCGCGTGGGGGCGGGGAGCGGCCACGCGGTGCGCCGAGGCGCCGCCCGCGGGCGCGGCGGCGGCGGCCGGGCAGCAGGCGGGCGAGTCCAGCGTGGCGGCGCGCAGGAGGGGGCGGGGCCCATTCCGGGGCCCCCTCGAGGCAGGAGCAGAGCACGGCGTCGACGGTGTTCCGCCATGTCTTCGCCCTCGATCTGGGGGGCCCTCGCCAGGCCTCGGGGCCGGCAGCGAAGCGACTGGCGGGCCCCGGGGAAGGGTCAGGAGGGGCAAAAAACACACGGACACAAGGAATCGTCGATTCCCAGGAAGATTGGGAAAATATGGGGAGTGGGGGGGAGGAGACGAGCATCCCCCCCGAAAATGGCAGATATTGGGGAATCCTAGGATCTGTGTCTATATCTAGTGGTGTGCCGTTGGGCCCCCTCACAAGGGATCGAGACCTCTGGCCTGATGATCGACGCTATGCCAGAGCTCCAGACCCCCGACACAATTTTTTCAGGGCGTGGACCCCAGAGGTCGCGACCCCTTCCCCGAGACTGGCGCTTCATCCTGAGTCGTTTTGTTCACAGCCCCGGGGCTCGGTGAGGGCCCCCGGGCCCCCGGAGGCCGAAAATTGTGGAAAACCGCCCGTCGTGACCTCTTCATGCTTCGAGGGGGTCTGGGCCTGGGCAGGCGACGTTACGATTAAGTCGGGCGCGTCCCTCCACAGGAGGGCTTTGAAAAAATAGTCAACAATAGTCGGGGGACGATTCTTCGAGTATGTTTAACCATTTTTGGGATATGTTTTAACATTTCGTCGAAAATCGGCCTGGGGGACATGTCCGACCTAATTGATGTTACGACAGAATCGTGGCCTCGGGCATCGGGGCAGAGAGGCTCTCGAGGAGCGGCCCTCCCTCGAGCGCCGCTCCGCCCATGCCGCTGGGCTTCGAGGGGGGGCGCCCTCGAGGGCGCCGCGCCTGGGGCACGGCTCGAAGAGCGGGCCGAGGCCCCTCGAGGGCAAGTCTGGGCCTCCCGGATGGGGTCGGAGCAGACGGGGTCGGAGGATTGCGCCGATGCACCGTCGATGCATCGCCGCTGCGTCGGCGATGCATCGTCGATGCATCGCCGACGTAAGACGATGCGGTCAGAGGATCGACATCCGCGATCCTCTGACCGCATCTACGCCGACCCCATCTAGGAGGCTTCTAATAGAATCACCCCCCTAACCCTAGTAACACGATGAAGACGTAGCCTCACGGATGTCTCCGTCTTTGCACTAGGGGTAATACATCTGGGCGGTTTGATTCGAAAAGTCTGCAGAGAAAACCCCCAATCTCTAGGTCCCCTCCCAAAGGTTTAGGGGCTCTTTCATATTTGCTCATCAAAAGAACCCGGACCCCCTCCGAGGCATAAGAACAACCACGTCCCTGAGCTTCCGGAGCTTGCTTAAATATTCGATTGGTATTTAGATATCCAGGCCTTGGTGCTATGTTTTAGCCCTCCCGGATGCTCAGGGGACGGAACGGGAGGCTTTTCACTCTCCTCGGCCTCTGGGGGCCTTCACCGGGCCTCGGGACCGTGAGAAAAAATATTCACGAGGAAGAGCGGGTCTCGGGGAATGGGTCGAGACCTTTGAGGGCCGACGATATATGCCAAAAAGCTATGACGTCGGGGGTCTGGGGATGCAGGCGGGGCCGCGGGAGGGGTCCGTGGACCGGTTCTCAGCGGCTCTCGGGCCTCTTCGCCTGGTTTTGGTCCCTATGGGGCCCTCACAGGATCGATCCGGCTCGAGACCAGCTACGCGGAGCGGTGGGGTCCGGGGGTCTGAGGCTTCGGTGGTGATTTTTGGATCTGAGGACTCTCCCCGACCCTCGGTCTGTCGGCCTGGGCTGTCCCTCTCTTGTCGTTGTCCCTCCCTTTCCCCCCATTGCGTCGCTGCTCGGCTCTTTGCGCTCTCGCGCCTGTTCTTCTGGTGATGTTGCATTTTTTTTGCTGCGTCAGGTTCGAGTCGGCGGCGAGCCCAGGGGGGAGTGAGAAGGGGCGGGCCTTCTCAGAAGGCTGGGAAGTTCCCTGCCGCTTCTCTTATTCATTTCTGAGACCAGAAGGTACCGATACCAGTTCTCCCCGGACCTCTCCAGGGGCGCGTTCTGACCAGATCTTCGAGGCGAATCCAGCGGTGGCGACGGGGGCCTCCCAGGAGGCCCCGAAACGAGAAAACGAGGGAAGGGTAGCGGTATGGGTACCTTTTCCCCCCGCGCACCTCCTCCCCCTCGCCCGCCGCCGACCGAGAGTCCCCCAGCCCAGTCCTCCCCTCTTCTGAGAAGGCGCGAGGGCTTCTGAGAAGTCCCGCCGCCTCCTGAGAAGGCCTTCTCCATCTCACTTCCCCCCCACTGCTCGCCGCCGATGCAAGAATCGGAACCCAGCGACATCGAATGTAATCGAACTGGAGGAATCGAAATGAGCCCCCCCAGAGGACGAGCCCCCTTAGGGATCGAATCGGAGGAATCGAGACGGGCCCTCCTAGAGGACGCCCCCCTCCTGAAAAGGACGAGCCTTCCCCAGAGCGGGCGGGGGTGCCTCCCCGGAGGGCCGCCCCTCTCGCCCTGGCCCCCTCTGCCGCGCCGCCACTCAGCGAGGGCTCGGAGGGCTCGCAGCACGTGGACAACAGGCCTCGAGCAGCTCGAGCAGGAGATCGGCGGCAGACTCCCAGTATCGTTTCACCGATCCCCATCCCCATCCCCATTCCCTTCGAGACCCCCACCAAATTACCACCCCAGTTGGGGACACACCCCTCGAAACCAGAAGGGAACGACCCATATCCCCATCTAGGAGGGTAAATCTGCCAGTGGGGCCCAGGCCACGCCGCTGGGGATGGGGATCGGAAATCGATAGACCTCCTACCCTGACACGTCGATTAGCGGATTGGCCGTTCTCGGTTCGCGAGAAGGCGTCGCGGCCGTCGTTCTTGCGGGTCCAGGTCCGTCGGTTTCGGTCCCAGGCCGTTGTCACTAAGGGGAGATTTACTAAAGGGAGGTTGGTCCACCGCCGACTCGAGGTATCGAAGACGCCTACGGCGAATCACCGCCGCCCCCTGCCTTTGTGGAAGCGCCTATGTGGCCGAACGTTGAGGCCAGACCTGCCAAGCCATCGGACCATGTGTTCCCCGAATCGGTTTGGAAAGCCTTCGGGGAACACGTGGGCGTCTTGATGGTCATCGTCGCCGTCTTGGAGGCCTCTTGGGCGATCTTTCGGCGATCTTTGGGGGCTCTTGGGCCGTCTCGGGCCGTCGGAAGGCCGAAAAAAGGGAAATGCCCAAATCCAGCAAAAACCTTGGGAAAATCAGTGATTTTGGCATCTTTTGGCCTTCCTGGAGGCCTCTTGGGGGCCTCTTGACGTCTGACGCCGTCGGGAGCCGTTTTGGGGGCCTTTCTGGGCCAACGGGGGACCCTCTTGGGGCGCTCCAGGACCGTCTTGGAGGCCATCTTGGGCGTCTTGGAGGCCATCTTGGGCGTGTTGGAGGCCTCTTGGGCCGTCTTGGGGCCCTCTAGGGGCCATCTTGGAGGCCACTTGGGCCATCAGGGGGCTCTCTTGGGGGCCTCTTGGGCGATCTTGGGGGCTTCTTGGGCCGTCTTGAGCCGTCGGAGAGCCGAAAAGGCGCAAATGCCAAAATCCTTCAAAAACCAAGGGAAAATCAATGATTTTGGCCTCTTCGGACTCTCCTGGAGGACCTCTTGGAGGCCTCTTGGGCCGTCTGGGAGGCCTCTGGGGGGCCTCTTGGGCCGTCTTGGGCCGTCTTGGACTCTCTTGGGCCGTTTTGGAGGCCGTCTTGGACCATCTCGGGCGGACTTGGAGGCCATCTTGGGCCATCTTCGCGGTTTTTTGAGGATGTCCCGAGCGAAACGGCCGTTTTTGGAGGATTTGTTTCCGGATTGAGGTGTTTTCGGCTTCCTCCCGGGACCCCGGCGGGACGGGCCGGAGCCCACTGGGGAGTTCTTTTGGAAAAAGAACCAAAACCAAAACCTGAAACGTCCAGCACGCCGTGCACCCCTGCAAGCAGGGGGCGGCGGACTGATGGCCTTCGGCCCGTCCCGCCACCGTGCCTCTGGATCCGTCTTGTGGAGCCCTCCAGGGCCCGAAGAAGCTCCGCGCCACCACGCGCCAAGCCCCATGGAGGCCCGCGCCGAGCCCCAGGAGATTTGGCGATTGGGGCTCTGGGGCCCTCAAGGACTTCGCAGGGCGGAGGACTGAGGCTCAGGGGATTGGGCAAAGGACCTGAGGACGCCCCCTCTTTTCCCAGAGGCACGGTGGCGGACCCCAGAATTGGTTCTCTCGCCGACTCCACACACAAATACGTAGAATGCCCGCAGACCTACGAACATTCTACGCATTCTTCATGAGGTCAGCGGAAGAAATCAAGTTTGGGGTACATCAATGTTGTAGTCGATCTTCTGCTCGAGCAACAGAAACTCTGCCCACACATGTCGGCGCTCCGCGCGGATTTCTTGGATCGGCGCTGGCTCCCCCTGACGGCCCCTTGGCGCCGCCCTTGGCGCGCTCCACGCGCCAGGGAGGTAGTCCAGCGCCGATCCAAGGAATCTACGCAGACCTCCGAGAAGTTACGTTTACACTGTTTCATGCTCCTCCGAGGTCACGGAAGAAAAAGAAGCGTGAAGAGAAGTTGGCGTGGAAGAAGGCTCAGAGGCAGAAGGCCAAGCAGAGCCAGAAGGAGAAGGGCACCCGCGATGCCCGCAAGAAGCGCTGGGGGAACATGGCCGACAGCCAGCGGGAGGGCGCAGCGGACCTTGCCGCTCGAGCCGCGATGGAGGCGGCCGGGCAGGCCAACGGTGCCGGGGAGCCCGCGCCCAAGAAGCCCAACAGGAAGGCGGTGGAGCTGGCCGACTTCAAGGCGCGCTGCCGGCAGGGCACCACGGTGGTTTCGATAGCCAAGCCTCGCAAGTCCTCGCCATTCCGGCTCTGGAGTGCGTCAGCGTGCGCCAGCGTCTGGTAATCGGCGAGGCAGCGCCGCTTTGGCCAGCGTCGATCTGGCGTCGATCTCGCGTCGATTACAGCGTCGGCCCATGAGTTGCCACCGAAGGTGGTGCTGGACCTCGAGTGGGAGGAGGACATGACCGAGCGGGAAGTCCGGAGCCTCTGCCAGCAGCTCCTGTTCTGCTACGGCGTCAACCGCGGTGCTCGCAGGCCAGTGCGGATGGTGCTGTCCGGGCTGGGCATGGGCACCTCCACGAGCCAGCGGCTCCGGAAGATAAGCGGCTTCGAGAGCTGGCCCATCGAGGTGCTGGAGGGACCCTACATTGACCGCTTCAAGCGCGAGGAGCTGGTGTACCTCACCGCAGACGCCGAGGAGACGATCCAGACGTTCGACCCCGAGAAGGTTTACATCATCGGCGGCATCGTGGACCACAACAGGCTCAAGGGCTGCACCCTCGCCAAGGCAGCCGACCAGGGCATCGCCTCTGCACAGCTGCCGCTGTCACAGCACATCGACCTGGGCGCCTCCCGGCGCGTGCTCACCGTGAACCACGTCCTGCAGATCGTGGTGGAGTACCAGCTCACCGGCGACTGGCGCCAGACCTTCGAGAAGTGCGTCCCTGGCCGCAAGCATCGGGGCACGAACCATGGCATGGGCATCAGCTTTCGGAGGTCCGCGCGGATGTCTCGGGTCGGCGCTGGAGCCCATTGGTGCGCTCCCCGCGCCTGGGATGGAGGTCCTCGGACGGGGCGAGGACGAGGATGAATCCGTCCCAGAGCGTTCTGGGACGCTCTCAGAGCGTTCCGCATCGCTCTGAGAAGGCCGCGGCGCCCGAGACATCCTCCAGAATCGCTGGATACCAGAGACTCCAGACTTTTCCTCACCCGAATTTCTTTATCCTCGTCCTGGCCTCGTCTTAGTCCAGCGCCGATCCGAGAAGTCCGCGCTGACCTCCGAGAGGTCATGCTCATGCCACTGCTTGTTCCCCGAGGAAGCAGATGCTGCAGGGGGGCAGCGCAGCGGGCTCCGCCGCGGCCGCCGGGGGCTCGGCCAAGAGGGGGGGCGACGACTAGGGAGGGGGGGCTATCATGGCCAGGGCCATGATATCTCGGGCCGAACGAAAGGGGGGGATAGGGAAAGGGGGGGTTACGAAACCTGCTGCATGCAGCTGGTTTCGGCCCCACCGAGAGGCACATTCCTCGATACATGACCGCCTCCGGCGCCGGGAGGCGCCAGGACAATCAGCTACGTGAGCTGATTCTCACCCCCCCCCTTTGCTATCCCCCCCTTTTCGCCCGGCCCGAATATCTCCCAGGATCTCATGGCCCCCTCTTCTGACCTCTGGGGGGCCTTGCAGGACCCCGGGACCGTCAAACATCGGCTCTGGACGAAAAACCAGCCGCAGGGAAATGGTCCAGGCCTCCAGGGCCAGGCATCAAAACATCGGAGCGGCCGGGTGTCTGGGTAGGGGGGGTGGATATCATAGCCAGGGCCATGACATCTCTCCAGATCTCATGGCCCCCTCTTCTTATGTCAACGCATGGAGATCCAACGCTGCGACAGAAGCGCAGCATCGCACCGGACCTCATCTTCCTGCACCAATCTTCGAGCCGCGTCGAGCTGCGAGGGTCCCGGGCCCCCGAACTCGGAGGACGACGCCCGTCTTGAGCAAACTGCAACGCCTGGCTCTGAGGGTGCGTCCCCTTTGCCCCTCCCCCCCCCTGGGCCGCACACCCGGCTCGGGCCATGAGCTGCGAACCCCCAGGGAGAGCCCAACATCGACTCGGAATCCGAGGTCAGATCGAATCGGAATCGGAATCCATCGAAATCGAGATCGACATCGAATCGAATCGAAGCGGAGAGATCGAAATGAGCCCTGCCCTCCTAAAGACGCCCCCTCCTAAAAGCACGAGCCCAGGGCGGAGAGTGAGAAGAGGCAGGTCTTCTCATAAAGCTCGGAAGTCTCTTGGCCTTATTAGAAGTTGTTTCAGCTTTTCCGGAAGACACCGAAGACTTTTCAGAAGTCGCGAGGGCCTCCGAGAAATCCCGCCGCCTTCCGAGAAAGCCTGCTCCTTCTCATTTCCTTCGTTCGCTCGCCGCCGATGAAATAATCGGAATCCATCGACATCGAATCGAATCGTATCGGAGGAATCGAAACCAGCTCTTCCCTCCTAAAGACGCCCCCCACCTAAAAGGACGAGCCCAGAGGGAGAGTGAGAAGAGGCGGGTCTTCTCATAAAGCTCGGAAGTTCCCTGGCTTTCTGAGAAGTTTTCTCAACCTTCCCCGAAGACACCGAAGACGTCTCAGAAGGCGCGAGGGCCTCTGAGAAGTCCCGCCGCCTTCTGAGAAGGCCTGCTCCTTCTCATTGCCCCCGCTTGCTCGCCGCCGAAATCGAACCGAATCGAGTCGGAGGAATCGAAATGAGCTCCTCACAGGACGAGCCCAGGGGGGAGTGCGAAGAGGCGGGCCTTCTCGGACGGCTCGGAAGTCCCCTGGCCTTCTGAACAGTTGTTCTCAGCCTGTCCCGAAGACGCCGAAGACTTCTCAGAAGGCGCGAGGGCCTCTGAGAAGTCCCGCCGCCTTCTGACAAGGCCTACTCGCTCGCCGCCGATACAATACTCGGAATCCACTCAGTCGCATCGCATCGAATCGGAGGAAGCCAGGTGAACTTTCCTGAGGACGCCCCCTTCTAAAAGGACGAGCCCGTGGGGGAGTGAGAAGAGGCGGGCCTTCTCAGAAGGCTCGGAAGTCCCCTGGCCTTCTGAGAAGATTTCTGAGCCTTCCCCGAAAGCACCGACGACTTCTCAGAAAGCGCGACGCCTTCTGAGAAGTCACGCCGCCTTTGAGAAGACCTGTTCATTTTCCCTACTCGCTCGCCGCCGACAACAGAATCGGAATCCATCGACATCGAATCGAATCGAATCGGAGGAATCGAAATTAGCTCTGCACTCCTGAGGACGCCCCACCACCTCCTAAGAGGACAAGCCCGGGGGGGAGTGAGAACAGGCGGGCCTTCTCAGAAGTTTCGGAAGTTCCCTGGCCTTCTGAGAAGTCTTCAGAGCCTGCCCCAAAGATGCCGAAGACTTCTCAGAACGCGCGAGGGCTTCTGAGAAGTCCAGCCGCCTTTGAGAAGGCCTGCTCCTTCTCCCTTCTGGGTAGACCAAAGAGGGCCGAGACTGCTACTCCCCGGACCACGCCCGGGGCGCGTTATAAGCAGGATGTCGAGGCGAATCCAGCGGTGGCAACGAGGGCTTCCCAGGAGTGGTACCTTTTCCTCCTGTGCACTTCCCCCTTCGCTCGCCGCCGACTGAGGGTAAGCGGGCTCAATCCTTTCCGCTTCTGAGAAGGCGCGAGGGTTGCTGAGAAGTTCCGCCGCCTTCTGAGAAGGCCTTCTCCTTCCCACGTCCCCCCCTCGCTCGCCGCCGGCACAAGAGTCGCACAACCCATCGAAGTCGAGTCACACCGAATCAGAGGAATCGAGCCGAATCGGAGGAATCGAAGTCGAATCGAACCGAATCGGAGGGAGCTAAATCGAATCGAGCCGAATCGGAGGAATCGAAGTCGAATCGAACCGATTCTGAGGGAGCTAAATCGAATCGAGCCGAACCGGATGAGCCGAAGTCGACTCGAGCCGAATCGGAGGAGCCGAAGCCGACTCGAGCCGAATCGGAGGAGCCGAAGTCGAATCGAGCCAAACCGGAGGAGCCGAAGCCGACTCGAGCCGAATCGAAATGCGTCTGGCCCTCAGAGGACGAGCCCGAGGCCGACGGCGCGGAGCCGCACGCCGCGGGCGCCCGCGGAGCGGCGGCCGACGCCGCTCCGCAGGCCGCGGGCGCCGCGGGCACCGCGGGCGCCGCGGACGGCGGCGCGGAGGTCGGAGGGTGGCCTAAGCGACCCCTGGCAAGCCATCCCCCCTCCACCACCACCACCAGCATTCTCATCCTCATCATCATCCTCATCCTCATCCTCATCCTCATCATCAACATCATCATCAGCATCATCATCAGCATCATCAGCATCATCAGCATCATCAGCATCGTCATCATCATCATCATCATCCCTGGCGGCCTGAGCGACCACTGGCAAGCCATCCCCTTCCTAGACGCCCCCCCGCGCCTCGCCTCGTCTCAAGACTCAGAGGAGTGAAAAGTTGCCGATGCTGCTACCCCTCCCTGTTCTCCCCTGTTCGAGCCTCCTGGGAGGCCCTCGTCGCCACCGCTGCATTCGCCCCGAACTCCTGGTCGGAACGCGCCCCAGGAGAGGTCCGACGAGTGGCGCTATCGGTACCCTCTGGCCCCCCCCCCAAAAGAACAAAGGCGTGCGGCCGGACGGGAGCTTGAGAGGCGAGGGGGTCGCCATGGAAGGGGATGGCTTGCCAGGGGTCGGTCAGACCGCGCCCGAGGAGGCCGCGGCGGGCGGCCGGCCAGCGGGCGGCGGCGCGCCGGGCGCGCCCGCAGCCGCGACGCCCCCCCTTGCGTCGGCTGCGTGTGAGAGCGGCCCTCGGAGGAGGAAGGGGTGCCGATGCCGCCCCAGAGATCCAACGTATTTCAGAAATCAGGGCGGAGGGTTTCTCGCCCAGTTCGGCCCCTATAGGGGCCCGCGCCAGGCCTCGGGACCGTCAAACAACGACTCAGGACGAAAAACCGGTCCTGGGGAATGGGTCGAGACTTCCTGGGGACCGCGTATGGAAGAACTCACGACGTTGGATCCCTGGGGCTGCTCGCCGTGGAGGTCCCTCGTCGGCCGGCGGTGAGCCGCTTTGGGCCTTTGGGGGCCTTCGCCGGGCCGCCTCGGCACCGTCGAAGAACTAGGGGGCCACATGCGAACCCTACCCCTACCCCCCCCGATTTCTGAGGGGGAGAGTGGGGTTCATTTCGCTCAGGAGCTCCCGAACGGAGTGAACCCCACCCTCCCCCTCAGAAATCGTGGGGGGTAGGGGTAGGGTTCGCATGTGGCCCCCTAAGAACGGCTCAGGACGGTGCACCGGCCCCAGGAGAGTGGTCCAGACCTCCAGGGCCCGCGCATCGAGAACATCGGAGCGGCCGGATGTCTGGAGCCCCACCTCCCGCCCAAGGACGTCCAGGTTCGCCATCGGGCGCCTATCACCGATCTATCGGCGATGTATCGTCTATTCCAGCTCGATGTCCCCCCCCCCGCCCAAGGACGTCCAGGTTCGCCATCGAGAGCCTATCGCCGATCTATCGGCGTTGAATCGCCTATTCCAGCTTGATGTCCCCCCACCCCGCCCCCTTTGGCCTGGTCCCCCCGCCATCGTTGGCCCTCAGGCGCGGGCGCGGGGGCGGAGAGGGCCGCGGAGGCCCCGGCAGGGTGAGGAGGCGCGGCGGGGCGGCCCGGCAGAAAACCGCCGGGGGGACCCCTGGCGTTTGCCTGCGGCGCGCTCACCGCAAACAGCGCCGACGAGCGCCCAAGACGTCGGCGACGACGACCACAGCGACGACGACGACGACCACGACGTCGACGTGCCATTCCCCCTCCCCCATCAGGGTGTCGTCGCGTCGGCGACGTCCAACGCGTCGACGACGACGGCGACGACGACGACGACGACGACGACGACGACGACGACGACGACGACGACGACGACGACGACGACGACGACGACGACGACGACGACGACTGCGGCGACCGTGCGCGCTTCCCGCACTCGCAAGTCGTTGATCGAAGAAGCAGAAACGGCACAAACACAAGACTGCTTGGCGCTCCGCGCCAACAAGTTTATGTTTATGGCGTGTTTTTGTCTGTGTCT